ATAATATTAAGCTATTTCAACAAGGAGGCTTTCAAAATGTACATATTATCTATGTTACTGACTGACTGACTCATTATTAAAGTTGTTAAAAAGCACATCCCGTATATATATATATAGAAACGTGAAAATTCGGCAAAAAAAAATTGGTTACCTACCTTTGTATTTTTATTGTTAGGTGTTTGATGGAAATGCACATGTGCTTTTTATAAATCATTTGATTTATTGTAGTACTTTATATGGTACTTACACGACTTTTTTTGACTGACTACCTGGCGCGTTAACAAACAGAGCAGATGGTTTTCYAACACGGGAACAGGCAACATACAATTTATGGGTGTACATGGGTTTTCTAGATAAATACCACAAACACTTAATGACTGCCCCCCTGAGATTTGTTTATAGTCATAGCGAAAGCAAGCCGTACTAGAAATTGTAATCGTTTAAACTCGAATGGTACGTCAGTYGGAATCATTGGGATACGTGGTATCAAATTTGATAATTTTTAATACATATCTATACTCGGTATACAATTTTTGATTWAACATAATATTGGTAATTCAAACARTTTTAGCTATATTAAAATGATTATTATTTTTTATGTGAGGAATAACAGTTATGAATTAAAATTAGGTACCTYTAATAAATTATTAATTTTAATTTTAAAAACATTTTTCAACTGTTAATTAAGTTCAAAAAGTATAGGTTGTAATAGTATAGGGCTGATTTTTTTTTATTAATAGTGTGCCAAATGGGTCCCAGTCCGCTCTCGCTCCTGTTAGTATTATATAAAGTGATTCCTTTGCCCGAGTATAAATTGGCTRCATTTTGCATAGGTATTTATCAACTAATGTCGATTTATTAAGACGGGACCTAATACTTTACTCCAGGTCAGTGGCGGTCAAATGATTTTGTCGTGGGGAGGAGGGGATGTGAGATTTTGAACTCTAGAATCTATATAATAATAATATACGCTCATTAGTCATAAGCGTTATTTTGAGAAAAAATTTTAAAAAATGTATTACACTAACATTATAGTACAATCATAATATACATAAATGTAATCGTGTAAAAAGTCATGGGAGGGGATCTATCCCCCCTCATCCCCCCCCCATTTGACCACCACTGCTCCAGGTCTGCACTTCTGCAGGTATGCATTTTTATTTTATTCTGAATCATAAATTACAACTCACAACTCATTGTTTTACAATATTATTGGTTTTTCAATCAACATCAATAGTTAGTTATTAGCCACTGAACTGRATACCTACTGTCTGCATAATTTCGACAGTATAAAAGGACATGCTTGATGGTTAGAGCTTCTCCACAGGTTTTGCAGATATTATTGTTATTATCTCCCATTTATCAAAAGAAATTATTTATTCATTTTTAGTTATTAAATAAGAGTTTATGGAATAATAATATAATATATTATARCATTATAAAGCTGGTCCCWTACGACTCGTGTACTCTGCGAATAATCTACAATTTATTGTGATACTATATTAGTGTTAGATTTTATTTTCTTAGTTTTAATATATAGCTGTGCGTACAATAAATATTATTAAGTAGGTAGGTACTGTTTTATGTTGAATA